CACAAGAAAGTGGGGCTACAGAACAAGAGACTGACGCTCCAATGAAAATAGGGGACTTGGAATTCACAGCACGCGAGCTAGGTGAAGACAAGGAGAGGACTCTTTTAGGGGACTCACCACTGTCTGACCCGGCTGACGTGCCGGAGAAGGAAGAGGACCCTACATCAAGAAGTAGGGGGTACCTTTAACAAAAAAAAATATGAAGGTATTCCAAGCAAATATACATCACTGTTGGGCGGCAACAGCTGTCCTACAGCGATGTATAATAAAACAAGAGATTGATCTTGCTCTAATCCAAGAACCTATTATATACAAGGGGCGAATAGAGGGTTGCATATATCAGGGGACTATGACATGATTTATTCAGCGTCTGGACACCCAAGAACCTGCATTATTGCAAATAAAAGCTTGAAGGTGTTTTTACTATGGGAATTTTGTACAAATGACCTAGTGACAATATCCCTAAAGCTAGACGAAGGAACTAATCTGATTGTTGGATCCGTAAATCTACCATATGACCAACCTGGGCTCCCCCCCACCAAGGAGCTGAGAGAACTGGTTAGTCATTGTGAAAAAAACAAAATCGATCTTCTTCTCTCGTGTGATGCCAATACTCACCATATAGTATGGAGGAGCACTGACATTAATAACCGAGGAGAAGCTCTTCTGGAATGTATTGCTTCCAATAAACTAGAAGTTGCAAACGTTGGAAATGAACCAACCTTCGTAACATCTGTGCAAATGGAGGTAATTGATATAACCCTAGGTACACAACGGGCATGTTCATTGGTGGGGAAGTGGCACGTCTCACAAGAAGCGTCACTTTCCAACGATAGACATATCCTGTTTGAGCTGGGCACTAAAACCTCCGGTGAGAAGACATCGTAATTCTAGGACCTGTAACTGGGGAGCTTTCAAGGAAAAACTCAAACAGGGACTGGAGGACTGTCCTTCGATACCGAAGAATTCAATGGAAGTTAAGTTTATGTCAGAGTTTCTGACACGAACCCTAACCAACACGATTGAAAAAAACTGTCTTTTAAAAATTAGGAAAGAGGATCGAGACGCTGTATAGTGGAATGGAGACCTTTCCAAAAAAAGAGCAGAAGTTCGTGAACTCTTTAATCTGTCTAAAAGGTCGGGGAACTGAGAAGCTTATAGGTCGTACCGGAGAGAATATGGCTATGCCATTAGAAAAGCCAAAAAAAATTCCTGGAAGAAATTCTGTGACGGCATTGAAAGCCTTCCAGAATGTGCCAGACTCAGAAAAACTCTACAGATAGATAAGCAAGGATGCATGGGATCTCTGAAAAATCAACAAGGAGAACTTACAAAAACAGAGGAGGAGACCTTAGATTTACTACTAAAGTCACACTTTCCTGGATGTGAGATTATTCTTAATCAACCAAGAGAACAGGAGTACTGAGGCACTAATTTCTAGGACCTTAAAAACAAACTGGTCTCTTGCAAACTTAATAGTAAACAGAACAAAACTTGTGTGGGCGATAAATTCTTTTCGACTATACAAAACAGCTGGACCTGATGGTATAATCTCGGCACTTCTACAAAAGGGGAGTACTGGAGGGACCACTGTGTAAACTATTCCGAGCTAGCATAGCCCTCGGATATGTTCCACAAAGCTGGAGGTGTACAAGAGTGGTCTTCATTCCCAAACCCGGGAAAGCGTCGTACGAGGAGACCAAATCTTTCAGACCAATCAGCCTAACATCATTTCTCCTAAAAACATTGGAGAAGTTTCCTGGCGTTCAAAAATTTCCACTCTAATAAAAATTTTATTTCTTGTTACAGAATATTTTATTCTTTGCCTGTTATATTTTTAACATTTTATAATCTTATTTTCTTTTGATAATTAATTTTTTTCCTGCATTAGAATTTTTGACTTTGTTAATCTTTTTATTAACTCTTATTTTTCGCCAAAATATAAATGAAATATATTCTTATTTACTATGGTAGTTTTATTTCTAAATTTAGTAGTTATACAATATATTTGGGTATATTTACGACCCAATTGCCTGGATTATGACTTTGATATTTTCGCCTAAATTATTCCTAATAATTGGTATTTGCATGGCATTTTAAAATTTTGAATGGCTGTGACAATGTTGATAACTTTTATTGAAATGTGAAAAGTTCAGTTAAACACGAAAATTAACATTGGCATGAAAATGACTCGATTGTGCAAAAATGAACGCATTCTGTTTTGAATTATTGGACATTGATAACAGCAATAAATTGTATAAATTTAGTCGAAATCGTTATGAATCGTTTCGAAGAACTATACGCATTGAAAATACGGGAAATAGAAAATAAAAGTTCGTTGAAAGTTCGTTATATTTATATTTCACCACAAATATTTAAGAGTAGTTAAAAATTATTATAAACTATTTTCACAAATTACACTGGTAAACAAAAATCTACTTATTTTTTTGTGACATGAAAAAAACAAAGTGTTTATTATGTAAAAATTGCCATAAAAGCAGAAAATAGCAACACCTATAGTTTTTTTGCTATGAGGTATTTTTGTTTTTTAAGAAAACAGCGATAGATATATTATTGTTATATTATTTTATTAACCAAAGAGTACCTTAAAATGCCACTGTCGATGTTTTCGGCGATATTTTGTTTTTTGAGTATCCCTTAACAATGTCCAGCAGGAATCGACAAGCAAACTGGCACTCTACTTGCCTTGGTACCGTTTCTCCATAGCAGAAATGTCTTGGTGAAACCGTTCCCCATGTTCGTTACTTACTGCCTCTAAATTTTCGGGGAAGAAATCCAGATGTGAGTCCAGAAAGTGAATTTTAAGGGACATGTTACAACCTATTTCTTTATAGGCAGTAAGTAGTTCAGTCACAAGATCTTTGTAACCGTCAGATTTCACGCTTTTAAAAGCACTCCAGGCTTGTAGTTCAGTTTCATTGAGCATTTCCTCAAATGTTTTATCTTTCATTACTTCTCTTATTTACGGACCCACAAATATGCCCTCCTTAATTTTAGTTAAGACAAGGTTAAATGAATATTTCGACTCAATGAAATTGCTCGATTTTCTCTTAGAAAATACCGCCCGGTATTTTAAAAGATATTATTTTTACATGGAATTAGTACAAAAGTATTTAGAAGGGATATCACACATTCTTATCTGAATAAGTCCATAAAAAGAGAAAAATCATCAAGAATCACTCTACTTCCTGATGATCTACAAGAATAGCGAACGTCTTCTCTGTTAATTCAAACAGTAGGGTTAAGACAAGGTTAAATGAGTATTTCACCTCAATGAAATCGTTCGATTTCCTCTTAGAAAATACCGACCGGTATTTTGAAAGATATAATTTTTACATAGAATTGGTTCAAAAGTATTTAGAAGAGATAACACACATTCTTATCGGAATAAGTCCATAAAAAGAGAAAAATCATCAAGAATTGCTCGACTTCCTAATGCAAGAATAAGAAACGCCTATTTTGTTAATTCAAACAATAGGATGATAAAAGACAAGATTAAATTAATGTTTCGTCTCAATGAAATTGCTGGATTTCCTCTTAGAAAATACCGCCTAGTATTTTAAAAGATATTATTTTATTTTTATCACGATTTTTTCAAATGCAAGAAATATGACGACGACAGCGATGTTGTATAATACGATATCTAAACAAACTTAAGATTTTATTTATGGGATATTTCGAGGGAACACATTAATGCTTTGTTGATGTTAACGAATATAAAATATGCTTAGAATGTAAAATATTAATTGTTAAACGAACCAAAACGAATTATTATAATTATTTTTAAATATAATTGCATTGTTTTATAAAATAAAGTAGTTTATTTTCGATATTCAGAAGGGATAACGTACGTTTCCCCCTGTATAAGAAATATTTTATGTTAATGATGAAATATAATAACAGCCTACCTGTTGATTCTTCGTTAGAGCTATACTCTTTTTATTTGTTCCTGTAAGTATTTCACATAACTACCTTATCAACTTTGTTTTGCACTATATTTATCCCGATCTTAAGAAAAATAAGCGCGTTTTAGCATTTTTAATTTTTAAATTCACTTTTAAATATAATTTAGTCCGTTGCTGGTAAGAACGAAAAAAAGAATGATGTGCAATACGATAAGAGCAGTAAATATGGGGCATTTTGTTTACTCAATAAAAAATAGGTGCTGATGAGTAGGTTTCAAGGAAACTACAATGTAATTATATCAAGGACAAGCGAAGGAAAATTATTATAATTACTCACCAGAATAAACGTTTAGACTATTTCCTTGGCATCACTAGAAAGGCAACAACGCTTCTAGTTTCCTGTTGTTTCCTGTTTTTCCAATATTATTTCGGAATAACACTATTGAACATTAACTACCTCACTCATTTTCACTATATAGTACCGAAACCAAATTGCATAAACTTTGAAGCTAAACTAAAGTGATTAGATAAATTCCACACCAATACTACCCAGGGCCGAATGCTCCCGTGTTCAGTTTTCGTCTGCCATGCGCATGACGCCACTCACAGCCTGACTCTCATTAGGGACAGGGGAGTGCTTATTTTCTCTGTAATGCATTTATTATAACAGCTACAACAAAATGTTTAATACAAAAGATGTTTACTAAGATTCAGATCAGAAAAATATAAAATGACTAATTTCGTGTATCTTTACTTTACGCGTTATTTTCGCTGTAAAATTGGTCTCTAGGATTTTTGGCACGATTTTATATTAAGTTTATCTTTCCTCTTGCTAAGATGCAACCACTTGTTGCTAAGGGTAAGGTCTTTAGGAAATCTAAAAAATCTTACAAACATTCTTACGAAATAGTAATATTATCATGTTTGTTCCCCAAATAGAAAACATTTGGGAGCACCGTCCCTGTTCCGGCTAATACACAAACTTCCTTCATGTTTAAAGAGAGACGATTAATAGACTATATTTAAAACTATTTGTCTACTATAAAATGAGAAAAAAAAATCAATATAACTTACCCGCTGGATTGATGTAAAACACGCAAGGCTCCTTCTGTATACCGATTTCGTTTTTTCCCCAACACAATAACGTCCCGTAATCCATTTCGCTCATAGGCTGGTAACTGGCGATACTGCGGCCTTTTTCTGTGTGAATATTGCTTCTTGGAATGTCGAAGGTATCTGCGGAATTGTTGAATTTCCATATGAATTCTATGTCATTGGGATTGCCTTCAAGTTCGCAAACGATTCGGGCAATTTCGTGTCTGGCTACGCCAAAAACTTTGGGCTGACCTGGTCGACAGTTTGGAAGAACTGAAAAGAAAAATTGGGTTATAATTTTTGGAAGTAAATTTTATTTTTTAACAATTAACTATACAGTACGTTAATTGTCTAACAACGACTGTAGGAGAACGGTTTAGAAGAACATTGTTGCTGAATATACAGAAATGACATAATACATGCTATCCCACTACCGCCCACTAAACAAAGAAACTTTCAAACACTTCCTGCAAGTTTATTTTCAGTTTGAAAATTAACCTTATTTCGTAAGTGTATGGAAAATTTATTATAAGTTTACAAATTTTAATTTATAATCCGAAGTTTTTAAAAGAAAATTCATATCTTTAAACTTGAAGCAATCCTATTTTTGTATATCTGCAAAATAAAATTAGCAGACAATTTTCATGTAAAAGGTCTTTACAAAAACATACCACATATTTCTTAGACCAAAATAAGTCGATTTAAGTAAAATTACCTTAGTACAAAGTTGCTTCGTTTGGGCTCCAGAGGGCCTTGAAGTTACAATTTTTAAATCGTTTTTCCCATATAAATTTAAAACGGCATATGCGATTTTGCTGAAATTACTTGTGTGAAGTTAGCGCCCGGCGCTGGCGCCCAATATCAGCGCTTACCCCCCTCCACAAAGACAAGTTCACACTGCCTAAATTCATCAACACTTTGAGTAGTTACAATTTTTCATTTAGGTATTTATTAATGAGTAAAATTTATAATAATATGTAATGAGATGATATAAATTGAACATAAAAATATATCAATATCATTTTACGTAACCACAGCGTTTTTGTATCAGATATATACTGGCTGTGCAAATTTTTAAGACCTATGAGGGCTATACGTAATATTAGAGACGAGGGAATTATTTTTGGACGAGAAAATGATGCGTTGTACCACATTCTGGTTATGTGGGATTTAATCTGCTACTTGAGAACTACTTTGTATAAAAATATCAGTTTTCTAAAACCTCGGCGTCATAGATTAAGAAGCACCCCTAAAAAATTATTATTTTTTACGAGGAAACGGCGCTTTGTGCCACATTCTGACTAAGTGGGCTTTATTCAGGTACCTCACGACTACATTCCCTAAAAATTTTAGTTTTCTTAAACCACGGCGTCATATGTTAAAACGCACCCCTAAATATATATTATTTTTTTACGAGAAAATTATGCATTGTGTCATATTCTGGTTATTTGGCATTTAATCTGCTACTTGGTGACTAATTTTTATAAAAATATCAGTTTTCTAAAACCTCGGCGTCATAGATTAAAAGGCACCCCTAAAAGATTATTATTTTTTACAAGGAAACGGCGCTTTGTGCCACATTCTGACTAAATGGAGTTAATCAAGTACCTCACGACTACATTCCCTAAAAATTTAAGTTTTCTAAAACCCCGGCGTCATAGGTTAAAACGCACCCCTAAATATATATTATTTTTTTACGAGAAAATTATGCGTTGTGACATATTCTGGTTATTTGGAATTTAATCTACTTCTTGGTGACTAATTTTTCTAAAAATGGCAATTCTCTAAAACCCCGGCGTCATAGATTAAGAAGCACCCCTAAAAGATTATTATTTTTTACGAGTAAAATAATACATATTTAGAGGTGCGTTTTAACCTAGGATGCCGGGGTTTTAGAAAACTGAAATTTTTAGGAAATGTATTCGTGAGGTACTTGATTAACTCCCACTTAGTCAGAATGTGGCACAAAGCGCCGTTTCCTTGTAAAAAATAATAATCTTTTAGGGGTGCTTTTTAATCTATGACGCCGGGGTTTTAGAAAACCCCCCATTTTTAGAAAAATTAGTTTCCAAGTAGAAGATTAATTCCCAAATAACTAGAATATGGTACAACGCCTAATTTTCTCGTAAAAAAATAATACATATTTAGGGGTGCGTTTTGACCTAGGAAAATTTTGGAAAAAGTAGCCCTCAAGTAGTAGATTAAATCCCATATAACCAGTATATGGTTCAACGCACCATTTTCTCGTAAAAAAATAATTCTCTCGTCTATCATATTACCTATAGTCCTCATGAGGTCTTAAAAATCCTCACAGGCAGAATATATGTGATACAAAACGCTGTAGTTACGTAAAATTATATAGATATATTTTTATGTTCAATTTATTATTTTCTTTTTGTCTCCCCTATTAACGCGAAAAAGAAAGAAAAGTATCTAAATGAAAAATTGCAACTACTCAAAGTTTTGATGAATTTAAGCAGTGTGAACTTGTCTTTGTGGAGGGGAGTAAACGCTGATATTGGGCTAACTTCACACAAGTCTGAAATTTGGTATATTGGTAGAGTTTTATGTGGCAAAAAAAATGGTATTAAAATGTTGTCCGATAATAATACATAGGCGTATAACTTGATTTTTTAAATAATTGCACCTTTAAAAATTCTACGCCAATGGAAGAAAAGGAGTTTGAGTATTAAATTTAGATTGCGCAACTCATTTACTTTAAAAAAGATACTCTTGATAAGACTCGATACTCTCATGATTTTCGCTAAATTTCTGTTTTAATAATTTAGAGTGTATAGGTTTCACAAAAATATTTATTTACAACATAATCAAAATAGATATTTTACAAAAATTGTTTAAAATGTTCATCATTTTAACGCATACAAAGATTTATACGTCGAAGAAAATTAAAATGTATCCTTTCCATAACTTCTTCATCACCTCTAAGATTGTTTATTGCATCTTGAATACGTTGCCAGAGTTGTTCCTCATTTTCTACAGGTTCCCTGTAAACTGTGGATTTCAGATGTCCCCATAAAAAGTAATCCATCGGTGTTAGGTCTGGGGAACGTGGTGGCCAGTTTACAGGTGCGTCATTACCTCTGCCTATCCATTTGTGTGGATATTGTTCATTCAAGTGGTTTCTAACGTTTAAAGAAAAATATGGTGGAACTCCATTTTGCATAAACCACATATCTCTCCGAAGTTGGAGAGGTAAATCTTCCAATAATTCTGGCAACGTATTTTGTAGAAAATCCAAATAATTTTCTCCAGTTAATCTTCGTGGAAGTATGACAGGACCAACAATGAAATTACCAATTATTCCAAACACACACATTAATTTTGAATTCGTGCTGAAAATGGTTTACCTTTATTGCATGCGGATTTTCAAGGGCATAAACATGTTCATTATGGGTATTAGTTATACCTCTTCTTATAAAACCCGCTTCATCGGTAAAGAGAACCTTCTTGACAAAGTTTGGATCTCTTTCTCTTTGCATATTAACAAATCGACAAAAACCCAAACGAAGTTGAGGATCATGGACTAATAATTCTTGTACTGGCTTCTTATGGTATGGATACAGCAATTGTTTTCTAAGCACTTTATGAACGACATCTTTACTTACTCCTAGTTTCCTTCCAATTCTTTTGATGCTTAATTCTGGATCTTCTTCAACACGTTCCAAAATATCTTCTTCAACTTCAGGAATCCTTACAAAACGTTCTCTTCCATTATCAACAGTGTTGGGAGCAAAGGAACCGGTCTCCCGAAGACGTCTCTCAACAGCAGCAAAAGTTGGGTGGCTAGGTACACGACGATTTGGAAACCTTTCAGAGTACACCCTGACACTCTCTCGAGCATTTCCTTCACAAAATCCTAGTAACATATCGGTATATTTTGCATTGGTATATTGTACAGCTATATTAATAAACCACGCATTTGTTTTTTTAATTATTGAATCAGATAGAACACTTTCAATAGTTAACAAGAGATTAGGTGTTAAAACTTGACAATATTTTTATTTAGATGAAACTATGGAAACCAACAGTAAATGTTTTTGTATACGTATTGCAGGCAAATAATTAATATTCCTCAAAAAATCGTACATGGCAAGAATCGAGTATTTTTGTTAAAAGTCTCGATTAGAGGTGTTGAAGAAGATATGAAAAAAGTACATTTTTATGTTTTTCATCGTATAAAATTTTGTCCAATAATAATACATAGGCGTAGAACTTGATTTTTTAAATAATTCACCTTTAAAAATTCTACGCCAATGGCAAAAAGGGGGTTGGGTACGAAATTTGGATTGGGTACTCATTTACTACAAAATAGTACCCCTGATAACACTCGATTTACTCTCATGGTTTTGACAAAGTTTGCATTTTAATAATTATTGTTTATGTTCTAAAATTACTAAAATGCAAATTTTTAAAGTAAATAAGTTGCGCAATCTAAATTTCATACTCAAACTCCTTTTCTTCCATTGGCGTAGAATTTTTAAAGGTGAAATTATTTAAAAAATCAAGTTCTACGCCGATGTATTATTATCGGACAAAATTTTATACGATGAAAAACATAAAAATGTACTTTTTTCATATTTTCTTCAACACCTCTAATCGAGACTTTTAACAAAAATACTCGATTCTTGCCATGTACGATTTTTTGAGGAATATTAATTATTTGCCTGCAATACGTATACAAAAACATTTACTGTTGGTTTCCATAGTTTCATCTAAATAAAAATATTGTCAAGAAAAAATCATTTGTGCACTTATTATGGATGAAATGGCCATTCGTCAACATGAGGAGTTTGTTGGAAGCGAACGTATGGTTGTGTAGATGTAGGAATGGGTGCAAATGAAACTACGCTTGCAAACAATGCTCTTGTTTTCTTATTAAATTGTGTAAATGGAAGCTGGAAAATTCCAGTAGGATATTTTTTAATTTCAAGTATGACAGGTGAACAGAAAAAGGGGCTGGTATTAGAATGCTTAAAGAAATGTTATGAAGTATGTGTTAGTATTGTAAGTTTATTTCTCCTCATTGTCAGATTTTGACATTGGCAGCTTTGATCAAGACAAGAGATTCCTTGAACGAAAAATCGTAGTTCGGGTTTTAGTTTTAAAGCATAACGAGATTAACAAATCTGATGCACAGTGTTATTCGAACGTTGATTTTCAATCACACAGGTCATATATCGGACGGTTTCGGCGAAGACAGAACAATATAATAATATTAATCTCTTTTATGGTCTTGGCATTGGCTTGGTAGGAAAACGGTTAATAAATAATAGTAAATAGTGTAGAAGTCATAATTGCGCAATGTCATCAAATTAATTTCGAATCGATCATGTTGAAACAAATCTTAGGTAAGTAAGTCATTTAAAAGTTGTAATTCTGCATACGGACTTTAATTATATTTGAATACGACCCTGCTTAGTCAACCATTTAAGCCACGCCCAGTGGGATCATTTTTAATAAAACGTATCATATGCAAAACAATTGCCTCATGGCATCTCCATTAGTATTATACCCCCATGGCTCATACGGCCTTTTTACATCGAAAAAGGAGGTATAGCGCCATCTTTATGCCGTTCTACGAACTTCTACTGCCTAACCACCTACAACAAATCTTACAAGACGCAAAACATTTCAACTTATAGTTCACACTTTGTCTGAATGCGACGAGCTACTCCGCGGTTGTTAAAAACACTAGAAGCAATCCCGTTTGAAAAACTTTCAAAACTTCTACAAGCATCTATATCCTCAAAAAGTAAAGTTTCTCCATCGCGATTCCGTTTCACCAGAAAAAAGTTACTTTACAATTGACAAATACGCATAGTTCAACCCGCCGAGCCCGGGGGTAAAAAGGGTACACTTTATTTGTTGTTTTGAAGAGCCCGTAAATCACATCTTGAAACGGAGCCCTTAAGAGTCCGTCCCTTCTTCTCGGCGATGATGGATGTGTTTGTGTATTTTTATTCTTAGCATTTCAGGTATATTTTTGCGGAACGTGATTTATATGCTTTCTTACGAATATTAAACTTTTTGTATTATGCTGTTCAGTTTTTACTTATTTGTTGGGAGACTGTGATGGCGTCGTGATAAGGTTGATGATGTATGAATGCGAACCATTCCAATTCATTATTTATCGTTCGTCAAACGAATTCTGGTTTTATTGTAGTGTAAGAAAAAGTAGAGAGAAAGACGTCAAAAAAAGAGGAATAATTCTAAAGATCATTGAATTTCGACGACAACCTGGACCGTCTTCTAAAATTTAATACTCATCAATTATTTGGTTTACAGTGAAAAATACATTGTGGCTGTCATAAGACCCAATAAGAAATATTTATATCTATATTTTTGTAATACCTCAATTACTTCCAACTTATATTTAATGAAATGTGTTCTTAAGATACAAGATGTTGTTTGTTGATTCATATTATTTCATTTTTTAAGTTAAGTACAAATTAGTATACTTAAGGGGATTCGTACTTTTGAAAATAGGCTTAAATTTTAAAGATTTTTGTAAAGAAATTGTAACTGATCTAGTATTCGGATGTTATTGAAAAAATATATATATATATATATATATATATATATATATATATATATATATATATATATATATATATATATATATATATATATAAACTGAAACTTAGATTGCATAATTAGGGAGAGTATTATTATTATCTCATTTAAAATTTTCAAAAAATTAATGGAAGACACATTAAAAAAAATTAAATTCGGCTTGAACCCTTCCAACTTCAAAAAATTATTCAGCGTATAGTTTCATGAATATCATTGTTTTTAATGCAAAATCCAAGCGTACACTCTTCTATCCTTCGCATGCTTTCTTTTTTGTAATGGAGACGCGGCGGCCAGCAACAAGAAGTGATCCTGGAGACTGGGCGCAATGAGTACACGTGTTTCTGGGTGTCTATAATCTTTTTTGTAGCTCAAAGAACTTTTGAACTTTAAATTACTTTAAATTTGGTACAAAATTCATCTGAAAATGGTCAAAAATTTAAAAAAATAAAAAGAAAACAACAAAATCACTTTGATCTTTATATAATTTTGATAGAGGAAGTTCTCGGGATCGTTAAATTTCTAAAATTAAAAATACATTGTTTCTCGAAAGGAAAGGGGCACGGAACAGTAATAGATTATTTACATAAAACAATGAAAATGTAGCTATATTTATCTATTTAGACTAAATTTCAAGTCAGATACAAGATGTTTATTGATATTTATCGATATTTATTGATATTTATTGATATTTATCGATATTTATTGATATTTATTGATATTTATTGGTATTTATTGATATTTATTGATATTTATTGATATTTATTGATATTTATTGATATTTATTGATATTTATTGATATTTATTGATATTTATTGATATTTATTGATATTTATTGATATTTATTGATATTTATTGATATTTATTGATATTTATTGATATTTATTGATATTTATTGATATTTATTGATATTTATTGATATTTATTGATATTTATTGATATTTATTGATATTTATTGATATTTATTGATATTTATTGATATTTATTGATATTTATTGATATTTATTGATATTTATTGATATTTATTGATATTTATTGATATTTATTGATATTTATTGATATTTATTGATATATATTGATATTTATTGATATTTATTGATATTTATTGATATTTATTGATATTTATTGATATTTATTGATATTTATTGATATTTATTGATATTTATTGATATTTATTGATATTTATTGATATTTATTGATATTTATTGATATTTATTGATATTTATTGATATTTATTGATATTTATTGATATTTATTGATATTTATTGATATTTATTGATATTTATTGATATTTATTGATATTTATTGATATTTATTGATATTTATTGATATTTATTGATATTTATTGATATTTATTGATATTTATTAATATTTATTGATATTTATTGATATTTATTGATATTTATTGATATTTATTGATATTTATTGATATTTATTGATATTTATTGATATTTATTGATATTTATTGATATTTATTGATATTTATTGATATTTATTGATATTTATTGATATTTATTGATATTTATTGATATTTATTGATATTTATTGATATTTATTGATATTTATTGATATTTATTGATATTTATTGATATTTATTGATATTTATTGATATTTATTGATATTTATTGATATTTATTGATATTTATTGATATTTATTGATATTTATTGATATTTATTGATATTTATTGATATTTATTGATATTTATTGATATTTATTGATATTTATTGATATTTATTGATATTTATTGATATTTATTGATATTTATTGATATTTATTGATATTTATTTATTGATATTAATTGATATTTATTTATTGATATTAATTGATATTTATTGTTTAAAAAGGCAAATAGTAACAAATCCTGTGGGTAATTTTTGTTATTTTTTGCGTTAATTGTTTAAATATCAACGTTTTCAATAATTATTCATTTATTTTCAAAATCTAACAATTCTTATGAATAACTTTCGAATATGGACAAATGCTCAATAATCTTTCAAAAACGGTTTTAAAATTATTTCTATCATTGTTCTTGGGATAGGTACAAAGGCTATTGATTGAAAATAAATGTTTTCTAAAAAAAAGAAATGTCGACCTTTTTTATGCATGGACGCATAAAAGAGCGTCTATATCTCGAAATATTAAAAATTGCATATTTTTCGTGCATAAACATTCGAAAGCGTAGTTGGTAGTTGATAAACATATACAAAGCGATGGAGCCCAAGGCCAGTAAAAGTGGCAAAGTGGCATGGCATGTGTAACCGCCATTTCCTGTTGCGATTCCGCCGCCATTTGAGCACTCACAAGAAACATTTCAAAGTTTCATTTGGTATGTTGATTTATGGCAAAAGTTTGAGTCTGATTTCGGGGAAGGCCGACGACTTTCTTACTTTTAACGACAGCTTGTTTTCCAGTTATATTTTCTTAGTTTCACTTCTTGCTATCCTCTTCGTAATGAAATATGACGATATCATGTGGTAAAATATAACTTACGTGATCGGAAATAGCGGTGTGACATTTCACGAAAAATGGACGAAAAAGTTTTGAGAGTAAATAATCGGTTACGCATTTACCGCAGTTATAGACAGGGGGAAATATTTTTTCTTCGTGAAATCGAGCAGTAATTTATGTATACCATTATTCATTTATATTTGATCGCTGGCTCACACGCTCAATGAATTTATTAATATATATTTTTTTTATTATGAAATAATTAAGGATTAATTTTGACTGGCTGAACTAATACTAACATTTCTGGCGAGTTGAACATGAAGTGGTTCGATGTTTTTCATGAGTTCTGAGGTTGAAACAAAACACATTAGGTATACATATCAACAAGATGATGGGCGCCTGCGAAAACCGGCCCGAGAAAATTTTCCAGACCTTTTTCTTAAACGGCCAGTCATGTTTTCCATATTCTCGTCAACCCCTACAGAAAATTGTCCATTTTGTTAAATAAATAATTATCCGAGCGTACAGAGGTTAGATGTACGATTTGTTACTGATAATTTTTAGAAAATTTTAAAGAAAACCGCATGTCGATCCGACTTCTCCGCTAAAAATTATAGGTATAATGCTAGTTTGACACCACTAATTAACATTTCCAATATGGCGGACGGGTATAGAACCTTCTTAATATTTATTTATTTTTTCAATTTCTACACACTGAGGTACTTATTCTACTTACATTTCCTTAGTTCCATATTGGTTACTCCACTTTTTAAATGTCATATTTTTTGGTCTTTTGTAATTTTAAGAGGGTTCTATACCCGTCCGCCATATTGGAAATGTTAATGTTCAAATTGCGGGCTTAATACTCACAAAAAAAAATCTTTTTTGTATCCGAGCTTCTTATGCATCGTAGATTGGCGCATGATAACTTTTTTTTATAAACATGAAAAAAATAAAATGAAAAAAATATAAAAAAAGTCATATACGTATAAATGTTATCATCCGCCATTCTTCATTTGCCACTGAACAACTTGTGTATTTACCATTTTTCAAAAAAGTAAGTAGTTTTTTCTAAAATTGAACATTGCTTAAAAATTTCAGAGGGCACCGGTAGGTGCTGCCCCCAACGGTCCTCTTTTAGGTTTGGATACCATGATAATCAATATTTTCTATGCCAGATGGCGCACCAGTCGCGAAAAGTATGTTCAGTTGCCTAAACCAATAAATATTCTTCCCGATCGATGTATAGAACTGCAAACAACACGATACGCAGACTAACGGTATGTTCCTGCGCATGCAGCTGACTGACGGTGACGTCACGTGGGACAAAGAATTGTTAGTATTAAATGGGAGATAGTGTTTGAAATTCGATATTTCGCCGGTTTTATTTTTTATGCAGATACTTAAGCTTTATTGGTTATTTTGTAATATATTCGTTTACAAATATGAAGGTTTAAGGTAAATAATACTAATAAAAATATTAATATTAAAATATTACCCGGATTATTTATAAAAAGTAAGTACACAAAAAATAATTTTTTATTTGGTAAATTTAAACATTTTTTTGTCAAGTTTACTTCGAAAATATTCAAAACCAATTTTTCTATTCATGTATCTTATTCTTATAAGTATATGTTTCTGTCCTGCTCTTGCATAGTATTTCTTGAAAAGGGACCGTTGTATTGGGACAGGAAACTACTGTTTTATCTGCTAAAATTTTAAAATACCTATTTTCTTTGCTTAATGAGGCCCCATGTACCTGGTGGAATTCAGTTTTCTTCTTTTGCGTCTATGTTTACTACTTTCCTCAAAATAGATAGGGCAACTTCATGCTAAAATAAAAAGTATTTATATATTTTTTATTTTAGCAACTTTTCACTGTCTCTAAACCTATTACACTTGTGCATTTTACTAACCATTATTGTTTAAATTAAGTTTGTCCTTTATTCGATAAGAATTTATCCACATTTTGTGGCATTCGAAAATATCCTACATTACACTATTTTTGGATTTCGCATTATGGATTTTGCAAGTCTCCACCGCACAGCCCGGCCATTTAAATATTAATTCAGTTCTTCCCTATTATATATAGGAAAATATAGTCCTACTAACACAAAAACAAATAAATTATTACATTATTTTACACTATTCAATCAAAAAGTGTCAAAATAACTTGAAAGTTCGTCTCGAATTACGTCACTGCACGGTTTGGACGAAATTTGAATCGAAAGTCAGCATACCGGTATGTATATCGTGGGAAAATAATAAATATTGTGTATATTTGGCGAATTTTGAATTCAGTTCCAGCTTTTAGGTTCGGTGTTGCCGTCTCTACAGATAGTTTGTGAATCCACAGACAAAGCTCATAGTAGCGTTGGAAATAGTCAGTTTTTAAAATACATTTCTACAAAAAATTTATTCCTAATGAAAGTTGTTTTTATTACGAAACAAAACAAAATTCACAGTAAAATAAATAGCGTGTGCATAAAATTGCTATAAAATAGGTAGTGTTACATAATAACTACAAAATCCGAGCGCGAAATTATGAAACGATCTTGTCGATTTTGGTCCGAAATTATAACATAACACACTTTCTAAAAAAATTATCCTAAGTTTAGTTCAGAAAATTTTACAGTTGAAAAAAATTAATAGGTACCGATTTTGCTTAAATAGTGAAGAAAAAGACATTCCTATAGCAAAAATCAAGGGCGCTAATGGCGTTTTATGAAATTGCACTTATCGACAAGGCTTTGAGCTCATTATGAAACCCAAATTTAAAACCCCAATTATAAACAAATAATTTTCTATTCTGTAATGTGCAAATAAAAAGAAAGAATGCCACCCTTGGCAACGTTGTAATTTTATGTGTTGTCACTCATTGCGTTCGGTTTGCCACGTTCCTTTAACTCCTTTAACACTTTTAACTCCAAACGACTCTTTTAGCGTTCGGTTTAGTCCGATTAGTGACAGTTTAACACGCTTAAATGTCATTTAAAAGCACCCTAAAATTTGTCCCGCTCCAGCCCCTGACTGACCGAACTCGCCTATCAAAATAAGTGGTCTGTCTGTGGTTGTCAATGTCATTGCGAATGCGAATCAAATAACAAACACATGTGTGTTTATTAGTAAATTAGGCATTCCAAACAAATGAAGCGCGGTTCTATGGTTTGGCATGTGTAAAGGGTTGCGACAAACGATGTAGTCTATTTACAATACGCGAAATCAAAATTAAATTTAAATATTTTGTGTCGAACACAATGAAAATATTATTTTTATAAAAACCGTTTATGCATTTTCTATAAATTGGCAGGCTTGGCGATTACTATTAGAAATAGAAATAGCGTCCAAGATGGAAGGCTATGTCGCAACCCCCTTAGATTTATGAGCCCTTCCCACTGACAACTATTATATGACAGGTCTTTGGAATATCTAATTGTACGAGAATAATCACTTTGACTTTAATAAATCGAAAAAGAAGTGGTTTTTATTATGGGTCGCGTACAAATAACAAAACAGCAAAAGGTTGGTTGGATTACGTCACGTTTTGTGTTGTACAAGTCTTAAACTTGTATGATTATATATATTGAGCAATTAGGGGCCGCATAATTAGGTTATCATTGGACGAAAACTGTTTAATACAGTATATCTTAAATTTCCAAAATAAAAATAATGTATTTACCTTCATATATTTATACGCTTTTCTATTTACGAATGTGTGAAGGCTATAGAATAAAGTGTTCATAAAAAGTAATTATAAACAAAATAAGCTCAAAAAACTAGAAACCGTGTTAAACTTATTAAAGAAAAAACGGTTATATATAGAAATTTAATTTTTTCAGTCATCAACGGCCGAAAATGCTACGTCTAGATGTTCTTATCAGAGAATTGGTAGACTATGCAACCACAAATCCACAGAAATGTATTTCAGGCTGCCTAACAATTTCTTTAAAGGGGGGATTATGGCGAAGACGTAAGGGACGGGGATTTCGAGGTTATGTATGAAATTGACGTAGCTGATGTGTATAGAACCCTCTTAAATTGGAATGAATATAAAATGCAATGAAACAAATTATATTAAAGTCATTAAATGAAACAAAAATAGAAAACGGTATTTTATTCGTTACACAACATGAGACGAAATTTGAGTAAAATCACAAAGGTAAATTATTATTTAGTAGATTTACCTATAAGAAATATGAAGCTCCAAAATCACATTTTTATTAAACTTTTACACAAAACCCATACAAATTTTTTGGTATCACTAATTAGTTCATATCATCAAGAGTAGTAGCGAATCGTTTTTTTGGCCTTCCTGTAGGAGATAGTGACCTCTGTCTGCGAGTGTGTGGGGGATTGCCACTAAGTAACATTTTTTTTACGTCTTCAATAGTAGCGTTAGGTTTTAAATGTTTCTGTACTTTGTTAGTACAAGTTTGACAAATCGGAACACTGCCGTAGAAATTATTCCAAGTCTCTTTGGATTCACTTTTTGATTCAGTAGTCTTTTTCTTTTGCTCATTAGAAGATTTTTTTTGATTAGGATAACATTGACCCCATACACTGTAAGTGGTTTGTTCTTTCGGCGGTTGAAAACATTGATAGTTCATTGTACCATCTGGAAACATGCCAAATTGTTGATAATACGGTTTGTTTTGCATTTCAAATTTATTAATTTCAGCTGATTGCGCTCCCATTTCCATCTTTCCATTGCCATAAAATTCAGCTTGATGCTGCGGATATTGAGGAATTGCTATATCGGGATTAAATGTATTTTGCGGTAAGCCGTATACCTCCTGGAGTGGCTGTGGTTGCTGCTGTTGTTGCAAATGGGTCTGCTGTTGATGAAATTGCTGCTGTTGAAACTGTTGTTGTTGTTGCTGCTGTTGGAACTGTTGTTGTTGTTGCTGCTGTTGCTGTTGTTGCGGTAGCTGCATCTGTAGCTGCGACTGCCTCTGTGGCTGCTGCTGCTGAGTCATAGAATCAGGTCTATAGTTATAGCACAAGCTAAAATATGTACCTTGTTGATATCCTTGTTGAGAGTTTCTTTGTGGGATATTTCCTTGTTCGTAGCTATAAGGCTTCTGTAAATAATACTGATGATTACTCATTTGATTCATGT